TGCAAGGTGACTGGAAGAACTGGTCATTTCCCTTCTGTTTTCTTTCACTTTTATTCCTGGAAGGACTGCAACAGGACAATGACACCAGTTTGTCATGAAACTCCCGTTTATCACCTCCTGTGGTTCCTCTCTTTAAAATTCCTACAGTGTCTTTGTGAAATGGCAAACTCCCAAAGATTGACATGCTGCCTTTTCCAAGGTTCGGCAAAATGAAGCTCTTTGTAGCTCACATTTATAACTTACCTGAACAAACATCTTTTAGGGAGAATCTGGGCAGGGCATGAACAGTGCAGCAGGGCTGTCTGCTTTTATTTGCTTTTTCAGTGATTCAGAATAAGACAACAGAATTGAGCCTACTGTTTGACTAGTATTTATTTATGACTGTATTTGTTTGTGGTTTTAACATGCAAAACCAGTATAACAATTATAGAAGTTAGAAAAAAATATTCATGCAGAATGAGGCTTCTACTTGAACTATCCTCTACAATCACTAGTTAGTTGATTTGTCCCAATATTTATAGTTCATCATTACAACTGCCAAAACTGGCAACCACCAGGATTGTTGTCTTAATTAAGGACAGTAAACAGATTGTCCCTTTTTTTCTTTTAATGAAAAAATCTAAAATGTAATACTTCACAGTTTAACATGTTTATTCATTTAAACAAGCTAAAAAATAGTGGTGTGACATCTGCTTGAGAGACACTGGTACCTAACATTTTGGCTGTCTTTCCACCAATTTGGTAGTGATTGAGGGGGCATAAAAGAAAGAGTAGAGGATTCTGTCAATTAAATGCACTCATGAACTACAAAAAATAATTTTCCACTCTTGGAAAAGTGTAGAAATACATCTACAAAAGAATGTATTACAGCAAACTAAGAGGATGATGGGGAAAACTGTTGCAAAATATCTCTGTCGGCTCTTCCAGGGAAAAATATTGAAAGCATAAGATCACAATCTTTGCCAGTTTATTCATCTCATGGCTTCATTTTCCCGAAGTGCCGGCATAATCCACTACAGAGTCTTTTAAGAAGCAGTTCCAACATCACATTTCTGCCATCTTATTGATGTGCCATATTGTTATTTTCTTAGTCATAAGTATCACTGATTATTATGCTACTCTAAGTAAAACTTGAAATGCAAACAAGATCTGTAGTACCCTGTCAGTTGGCACTCTACCTTGCCTAGTCTGCATTTCAAGTACAGTTCTTTACTGAGAATTGTCCTGAATGCATTTGACCTCCACCAACTGGTTCAGTTGTGCCTTATAAGCACAGTTCCCTATCAGAGCCAAATTAAACATCACTCTACTAGGAACTGTTAACAACGTTTTCATCCCTTTAAAGAGCAGCATTCAAAACTTGGCCCAAAGTCAGCAGATAAGCCTCTTCCATGGCAGCGATTATCATGGAAAAGGGATGAGCAGTTTTGTAGGGTTTTAACTGTGCCTTCATTTAGAGTGGTTGTTTAAAAACTGTTTGTTTTCAAACACAGCTTCTTAGGTCAACTACCCAAGATGACACCTAAGCAAGCGGATGAGTTTGCTCATGTTGTGTATGTTTGCAGTTACATGTTGCAGCATAATCTCACAGTCTACATGTTGCCCCTGCTACAGCTGCTCTGATGCATCGAAGGAGCTATGACAGATCCCAAATCACATGTCTGTATGATACGCAACACTGAACTTTAAATAAAGCATTCCTCCAGAAAAGTTTAAATATATCTCCAGGGTCTATTAGGGAAATGTTTAACATGTCTTCTAAGCTTCTAGTAAAACATATTTATGGACTCTAGAAATTAGAGTTAAAGCCTTTCCTTGGCAACATTCACCAGCAGCACTAGTAAAACTACCATATTGAGGCTTCTGTCCTGAGATGGTCTACACTGGTTCTGCTTTTGTAGGATCAAAGGGAGAAGGAAAACTGCTAAGGAAAGATTTACTGAGCAAAATCACTGCTGGAAGACTTCTGTGCCTTCCTAGCCTAAGACTTCCAGGTGGGACATATGCTTCCACCCACAGCACAAGGAGCTAGTACAGGCATTTTCTCCACAACCTTTGCTGGAAAGAAATTCAGTTTACTCTACAAACAGAGAGCAAAACCAATACTGATGTCTACCCTTTGCCCAGAGGTGAACAGCCTTGAAAAAACTGCCCTGTTAAGCCATGGCTGCTGTGTAAATGGTTTGATCAGCAATCTATCTTTGAAACAAGTTTATAAAATATTATAAAGTCAATCTGTGCAAAGCTGATGGGAGCTACACAGAACAACTTTGTCGACACAAGGATATTTGGGTAGGATGCCAAGGGAAGTTATCTTTATTGTCTTTTAAGCATTCATAGGCTATGCTTAGTTTTAATATGAGCTTAGAGGTTAGAACTGCTAAGAATAACCTAGGTATTTTAAAACTGGTATCACTGCTCACATTTGAACACTGTGCTGTTTTGATTGCTTTAAAGTCCTTTCAAATGTATATATAATTCCATGTGACACATCCAACATCAATAAAAGCACAAAAATAGGAAAAATACATTTATTATTAAAATAAACACTGAGAAACTCATACAAAGACAGGTGGTCCAAAACCCAAGAGGCATATTTCTATCTCAGATACAATTAAGGGCAAAATAAGCCATGATTTGCAGGATTAAAATCAGACTCTACTATAAAATACCAAGTATGGACAATTCTGGCAAATTCTGACAATTCTGGCATTCTGGAAAGCTGAAGTAACTTGAGGTCAGATTCTGATTTTCCCTTGGAGTAAGTCAGTTGTAATTTCAGTGAACTCAGGAGAATCATAAATTACTAAAACTCAGAATCAAGCCTCACTGCTAATATTGTGTTCTTGAGCCTTTTAGAAAACGAACGATGAATAATTTGATGAAAAGTGGGAGCTTTTAGGTTTACAAAACTATTGACATATTTCCAGAAATTATTGTACTGATAAAAGTGTATTTGTGCAATATTTGCCATGTGCTTCTATGTAGATTGAACATAAATCTATCCAGATTACCTGAACAAAAGGGAATTTTCTTGTTACATGAGAATAACTTCCAAGTGAATGAAAAAGCCTAAACCTAAACAAAGCCAACAGACAAACTGCAAACTATGGCACTTGTGGGAAATATGGATTGATATGCCACAAATCAGGAAAGCTACTTCAGTCACACATGCATACACTTCAGATTTTGTCTGTGAGTCATAAAGATAGGAAATGCAGTCTTCCTGTTCTAGGAACTTCATGTTCATAAATGTGACAGTAAGAATAGCTTGCTTTTTAATGTAGCAGCTTCAGAAAGACAGTTACAAGACAACCTGCATGAAGGGGATAACTACACATCACTCAGAGAGCTGCATGCAGACATTAAGAATGCAGTTTTATGTAACAGGAAAATTGATCACGCAAAGTAAGAGGAAAGTTTTGCAGCTTCTGTGACATGTGGCATGGCACCGGCAAAGTGCCATATCCGAGGAGACAGTTTTTGATATGCTCTTCCCTCCACCCAAAGTCAGGCCATGTGTCAGATATTGTTTCACTGTAAATGCAACATGTTGCTAAGCATTTGGTCATGAGTGCAAGTAGTAGTGGACTACAAGTCACATGAATGCATAAATGTTAGGATTTTGTGTCTGTAACAGTCATTGCTAGAAAATGAGAAATATTCGCACATATATGTTTATGCTGCTCTTTCATATTCTTCTTGGAAGACTCTTGTATTCTGAATTTCTAAATAAATTGTTTTGCATTGTATAAAGTGAATGAAGAGTATGACAGGTAAGAAGTGGATCCCTAGAGAGTCAGTTTATATGGTCATAGTTAATGTATGGTTTAAGAATTAACTGAATTGATTGAAGTTGCTTAAGTGGTGATAATAGGACTATGTCAACTTAAAAGAAATACATTTTCCATTATAATGCTTGCTACTGTTTGTATCCCTTTGTCCTCAAATTCACTATAAGACAACTTAGCCAGGCATTTCTGGAACAAGTCAGTTGCAGCTAAACATTCAGCCCTGAAATTGGTATCAAAGATAAAGCCAAGCTAGTTTGCTAAGAGAATTACAGAATTATAATAACTTTTCTGGAAGTCAATCTTCCTAACTCCCTTGCCCCATTCAGCACCAGTGGCTCTAGGCTTTTCTTGGCATCAAAGTGAAACTGAACTAGAAACAGACCAAATTTTTAAAAGGATCAAAACTGAGCCTTTTCAGCCACAAGCTCAGTTATATGCCAAAGCTGAAGCAGAACAGCATAAAGCCAGACTTCTACAGCTCCCTGCAGCTGCTTTGACATACCGACTTCTTCAAGTTGTTTCTGGTTATCAAAGGGATCAGAAATGTTATCTACAGAACGTATTCTGAAAGGTACTTTGCAAGAGCTGAAGGATGTCATGGAGCCAAGACTTTCCCAATTATTAGTACGCATGGGGAAAGAAGAAAAAAAAAAAAAGGTTTCCTAATACTTACAAATTCTTACATTAGTTTGGTGATTAAAATGATTGTGTAGCTGGAAAGCATTTTTTTTTTACAACATTCACTAACAGGTAGAGCAAGATGATAAAAAAACAGCAGGAAGAGTATAATTAAAACATTATTTTGACTTCATATTAATAATAGAGCAATATACTAATTAAATCCAACATCGACTGAACTTTCTGTTTACACTAGTTCAGGCAGCACAGGAGGCAAAGAACTGTGTTTCAGAGACATATGTGAATGTTAGAACTTCTGTCATCCAGGTGCCATTTCTGACAGAACACATGTGTGCTGAACAGTTGGCAAAAGAATGAAAAAGATTACTGCAGATATATGGGCACACAGAATCTGGGATGACATAAAATTAAGTCCATATAGGAGGTGACAGACTGCCAATTCCCTACAATTTCTTCCCTCTTCGTGTGCATGTGTGTGCACACATGCACAAGAAAGATAAAAAGAGAAAAGATAAGGGTTTTTTTTTTTTATAAAATGTAAATACAAATCAATAAAATACTTTTATTTGGTATTTCTGCTTTCTTTTTGGAAAGGAAAAGGAAACTAATTTGGCTATTAGGAAGCTTTGATTCCTAAATTTAAACAAGGCAGGCTCTCCTCCTGTGAAATCAGCATCAATATCCATTATAATAATAGTACCTGTCTTTTGACATCAAATTTCTCTGCCTGAGGAAAAAAATAACGTAAACAGTAAACTACTGCTGCTCCTAGCCTTGATGTTAACCAACTATACTGGCCAGGCTTGAGTGTTCTCTTATTTTGGAGACCTGGAATGTAAAAGTGACTGACGTACTGCAAAACTTTCTTATGAATTTGGACTGCAAGAAATGGCACAATTTACTGTCTCACAGTGAAGGGACAGTGTGTTCCTACGTAGTCTTGTTGAAGCTGAAGAAGTCGTGATGATAGATTCATTGCATCTGCTAGTTTTCATCTGGATCCAGATCAAGGTCAACTTCATTGGAAATGTTAAGATAAAAGAAAGCATAAAAAGCCAACAAAAATACCAGTATAGCTGCAAGGACAAGGGCAACTTCCTGTAGAAAAACATAAAACAAAATCTGTTAGAAATAGCACCATATTTACAGATAAATCAGGAATAAATATTATTTCCGTTGTATAAAGCACATCAAAATAACATCAGTGGTTTATAATTGCATAGGGCACTGATACTTTAATGATTTCTTGTTGATGATTACCATTTCAGGATGTTGTAAAATCCATTCACTTAGTAAAGACTTCGGTAAGTCTGACATACTGCCAGAAATTGGATATTTGGCTCAAAGATCTTTGGTCTGACCTAGAAATAGGAGCTTCATGTCCTCTTATTATGGTATTCATTCTTTTTTAAAAGAAATGACAGAATTCACAAACCACAGTTTTGAACACAAATTTAAGTTATGAATTTACACTGTGAATTTTGATGTTTTCTAGCAATATGTTCCTGCTTTTTGCCAACAAATTTGTAATTTTTTAATGAAGCAAACACAGTATGGTGGAAGTCAATGAAAATTGCTACCTCTACCTCCCAACTTCCTGGCATGCATTACAATATGGAGCTACAAAATCCTTCAGAATTGGATGAAACTTTTCTTCCTTTCCTTGTGCAATAAGGCAAAAAGCACAATTTACAGTTGCATTTGCCTTTCTTCCCATAAAATACTGCAACTTGCTGCATCTTCCTTAATTAACATAAAAGAGTGTTCCAATGTATACATGATTTATAGCAGCTTTCAGAAGCAGAAAAATGTTTTTGTACTACACGTCATACTCATTATGGGACTGCTTATCATCATATTCTGTCTTAAAGCTGGACTTTGTTAAGCTCCAACTTAACAGAGATCTAAGATACAATAATACAATCACCCACTTTATAACACTACTTCTTTCAAAGTCAGTATTTCACATTTTTAAAGTTTTCATAAAGCACAGCACACTCCCTATAGCATTGACTCTCATTTTGGTAGACAATGAAAGAAAAAAAAACAATTTTAAGAACTATCCTTATGTTTCTTCAGCTTACAGAAAGTGCCGCTTCCACAGCTAACACACACTGCTGCATTCCTTATCATCATGACGTATTTTTACAATCACACACTGGGGTGCTTAGAAGGAACAAGTCACCTAGACAATGAGACACACTTTCAGTCGAAGGATAGAACCTGACTCTCTTTGGTGTAAGATTCATTGTGGCCTCTAAAAGAGTTCAGGTGAATTCTCCCTAAAAATGCCTATTTCTTCCCTTGGACTAGAAGGGAAGTAGAGATGATAGCTCAAGGTGTAGAGCCCTACATGGTAGCTGACAGCTCTAGACTTGTGGTGGCATTGTGACTGACTTTGTCCACTGCCATGAAAGAGTTAAAACTGTGTTAACTTCAGTTTTTAAAGTCTAGCCCATAACCTGGCATTCTTCTATAGAACAGCATTTCATTTGCATTTACATGAATGCATTATATAGTTTATCAGAATGTTGGATCAATAATTCAACATATGCCATCTAATAAACTTTGAAATACTGCTGCCTAGTTGGCGTATGCTCTATAGGAGTCTTTGTTCTAAAGAAACCTTTACTTTATATTTTATATAAATTATTAATTGAGATATACTTTACATTTATTTTAACACATTAAAATTGCTCCTGTAAATTTGCTGAGGCTGTTTGCTACAGATTTGAACTACATTTCCCTCTTAGAATTATACCTCATGTGAACCTCATCTTTCTGATTTCATATGATTTGATTTAAAAAAAAAAAAGTACATCTAATTCACTAATATATTAAAGGAAAGTGATTTCTGCTTTGTTGCAGTTGCAACACGTCAGTATCTCACAAAAGGGCATGGCAGCATCAGACAGGTTTCATTTATTTCCTTGTATCCACAGCTGTGCTCCCAGACCCATCTGGCCACACAGCTACTAATCTTAAGAGGATGTAATAAACAAGTGACATACAACTGCAAGCTCCATCTGCTCAGGAGAGTGGACAACAAAACCGTACAATGCAGGCACCATTCACACTTGACACTGATAGCAAATTCATTCCAGTATTAAAAAGTTTTTTTTCCTTGTTTGGATGCCACGCTCGCCACGCTTTCTGCTTTACAATACATTCACCTTTCCTCTCCCCTCTCCCCAGTGTCTCTTGTGAAACGCTGTGGTAGCAGCAGCAGCAAGATTTTGGGGAATGTTTGCATTAAAGACTTGTTTTCTAGAAAGTGGAACTGGGAAAGTCTTGGTTTTTATTCTCAGGCTGCCCAGTAACTGCTTTGATGGGAGTAGTTCTTTAATTCCTCTGCCTGTTTTACAGAGAGTAACACTGAGGCAATGCTACTGCTTTCCTTGTGCAGGCATTAGGAACTGGGTTGCTGGATCAGTATTTACTAGCCCTGGGAATGGAAAGCCTTACTGAAATTTAAGATTTGCAAATTATGCAAGAACCTTAATTTTGAGTTACTGAAGAAGGCAGACTAACAAAAACCTAGACAGCCTAACAAAGGACACCTGGCTCTCAGAGAGGGATATGCAGTCTCTTGGAAATTGCATTCAGTTTATGAACTTTTCTAAACATAAATTTTGCAATGTTAATAGCAAATGAGATGCTATACCACTATGCTGTCTTTGTGACAATGGCATATATTGCCATTTTAATTTGTTTTATACTTACCAGGCTTTGCTTGTATTTTAAGTCACGCATAGAAATGAAATGTTAAAATACTCCCCGCTCAGCATATATAGCTCCCTTTCACTTTGCACTTCATGGATCATCCCCATCATCCCTCTGCAAAATCCATTTACTCAGAGGATTTCACCATGAATAATTAACTAATATAGAAAAAGTTCTATAGAAATAAACTTGAAATTGTAACAGGGCATTTCTCTTTTTAATTTTTTTTTAAATTTTGGAACATGGTACAGAAGACTAGGATGCAACATGCCTGCTTTCAAATCCCAAAGTACAGTCAAAGAAGCCTTTAAAAGGAACAGAGTTTCTATTATATTCTCTTACATTTAGAATAATGTCTGCAGAACCCTCATGATGTTAGCTTAGTTAAGTTTTTCAGAAACTCTTCCATAAAGAAAACACATGCAATTGCAGCATAACATAGATTTAATTCTCCTATCATTTTTTGTCAAATTTATGTCTCTCATAACAAAATACTTGGATAATGTCCTCAGATTCACCCTCATGGAGCAAGTTGCAACGTTGGAATCTAAACAAAATTAATCAGGAGATGAAAAAATAGGAGAGTAGGTGAAGAAAAAATGTTGGCTATAGCAACACAAATCTGGACACTGTGTATGGCAGCATTGTATCCTACACATATAGAGAAATACCACACTGTCAGGAAATTCTGGGGGTTTTATATATTTGTTATTGTCTTTCAAGGAGAATGGTATTTTTTTCATCTGAAACCAGCTTAAAACTAGGTAAAAGAGTACCATAAATTGCTGTCCTTGAAATGCTAAACTATTGCTACTTGTTTCTGAACAGAGGTGAAAAGAAAATCATGCTGACCTGTAGAAATAAGACAAACATACATGGACTTGACAACAAACTTTTTAATCCCATATGATTTCTAACTGAGAGACTTCATCTGAATATTCACTGTGACCATATTTAGAGTTTCAACAAAAAAAAATATTTCAAAATGGATGTTTACTTCCTTAACATAGGTCATTCTACAAATAATACAAGACAACAAAATAAATCACTAACTAATCAGTAATTTTTTATGTTAAAAACTTTTTTTTCTAAAATTCTCAGATGGAACAAAGATCATCTCAAATAATGAGAACAAACTACTCAAGAACAAGGTAGAGAGCAATCTAAAAGGCTTGGCTATATGATAAAAAAGCAACAGGATTACACAATCATAGAATCGTGGAACAGTCTGGGTTGGGAGGCACATTAAAGATCATCTAGTTCCAATCCACCTGCCACACCTTCTGTGAGACCAGGATTAATTTGAATATAGCTAAATGCAAGATAATATACACAGGCATCAAAGATGTAAACAGTACTTACAAAGTGCAGGACACTGCCTTGAAAAACTGAGTCTAAAAAGGGCTTTGTATTTAAGGGGTAACCACTCCCTCAATGTGATCTCTGGATGTGAAAGACAAGGGAATTTCCAGCAGGGAGATGACTGGTATTTGTTTTATCACAGAGAAGAATAAGAGGTATTTTGGTTGCAATATGTAACTATGTATGTCATACAACTGTATTTAAGTAAGGTGCTTCACAGTGTGGGCTTCTTCTACCTTGTTTACAAGAGCCTCCTAAAGTCCAGCTGTGGTTGGATAGGCTGTCTTGAAATAAGATGCCAGTCCCTAGGAGCAAAAATGACTGAACATTCTAGTTACCTCTTGAGTAAAACATGAACTTCCATAGCTGTGAGTTTTTTATAGCCAGATCTCTCAAAAAAAGGAACATTCTCATGTAGTTATTAGGAAGAATACCTGAATTTGGGCTTGTGTGAAAAGGACAACCTAGCTGCCAGCCTTGGAGTTGGGAAACAGCTCTCCAGACCGCTCCTCTCCTTAAGGGCCATGGAAAACTGGGATTAATTATATTGTCAGTACTGTATTGAAAATCCCTAAAGTACCAGATTGTTAAAAGTAATGACACACACTTCAGCACTTCAGACTTTTCTACACAGGACCAGAAGAAGTTTCCCTTTTTTTCAGGAATTTTTCCTCCAATTGTATTGTTTTCATTTCCAGATTTGAGGGTTTGTTGCTGTCAAATATCATTTGAAGTGTTAAGAGTTTGGTTGTAAGTAGAGACCAAAGCCTAGGTTAGTTAGACTAGTGCTCTGAGATGGTACAGAAAATCCTCCTAAGCTCTTGCCTGGTGCATCTTGTTCACACACTCAAAGCCACCACAATTACTGTATGTGTACAGGTCGGGCTGGGGTCAGATGGGAGCAATTTGATTTTGTTTTTCTCTTTGCATGTTTTTTTTCCACGCCCTTCCATTTCAAGGTCAGGGATCAGAGTCTGGCTGCTGGGATCACTGGGAATATCACCCTTTGTGTACCGATGGCATATTAAGCTGCCCTGCTCATGATGTGAGGCACATAAGATGGCTTGAAGACCCAGTATTTTGGCTGTTCAGTGATTGGACATTCTAAATAATTTGTATGAATTTTTATGATCTGTAACATATAGAAGGCCAGATCAGATGATCTAATAGTCTCCTGTGGCCTTAATTTCTGCACAGCTATGAAACTATATTCCCAACTTATCTTGGCAAATGTAGTTCACTAACTTAGCAGATTATGAACAGCATGAAATCAGAGAGTATCCTTTGCCAAAATACACGAGGAATGTCTTGTTATCTATTCATACATAACTTGTTCCAGATGAGATAAACTCTTAATAGTGAGCTAGCTAGCTACACAATAGATTAAGTAGATACACAAAAGAATGACAGTCAGTAAGCTCTCACTTTTTTTCCTTAGTTCAATCAATGTACTACATTGCTAATAACTCTCTGGAGTAGTATTCTGCAGTTGATTATGTCTTATCCAGTGGGTGTAAAATACTACTGTTCAGATTTGTGTCTGCCTTTCAACATGAGAGAAAACTGCATCATCTATCCTAAGGTCCACAGATTCATTCTTGTGGCCTGTGAAAAAAATCTCTCCCTAAAAACGCCCATTACTTTTGGCCTCTGCATACCAAACCCCAGCCCTCTGGGGCTGAGCTTCCACATTCCTCAAAACATTTTCTGCTTGCCATGACAGTGCTGGCACCTCTTCCTCACCCTCTGATAGCAGTTAGCACTGACAGTGAAGATCTCTTGCTGTTCCACCTGGTAAGGACAAGCAGCTTCCACCAGCATGAGCCCACCACGTGGGGACAACAAAACAATCACACAGAGAAGGTTCAGAGGCTCCTTTTTTGGTACTGCTACAAATAATTTTGTCTTATCTAAACACAAGGAGACATACAGCATATTTCTTTCACTCCAAGTTTTTTCTCAAGATGGAGTGTTGCTTTTTCAGGAGACACCATACATTTTGGCACCGTATGCATTAGTGTCATATATACAAACTGAGCCAGAACAATAGCTGTGATACAATATTTAATTTTATAACATGTTTAAAGAGCAAACATTACACTCTGAGTACTAGCATGGTCACCCTGCTTCAACTAACTTTTGATAGTTATTAGTGCTTAGCTGCTTCTCTGACATTATCAACGGAGATAAAATCTCTCATCAGGGAAGTTAAAAAGTACTAAATGGCAGGGTCTGAAAGAAACTTTGTTACTTTAAGCCTTGCATTAAAATGACAACGCAATCAAAGTTTTACAAGGCAAGCTAATTAGTATGCCAGCAATGAAATGTGCAGGATCTCCAGGGGACTGGCTCTGAAAAGTTTTATGTTATTTATAAGGCCTTTTTTTTAAAACTGGATGCTGTCAGCTCTCATGGTGAAATACACAACAGTGGAATTTCATTATCGTTATAGAAATTATGGACTCAAATCCCTTCAACGAGTTTTCCAGTCCTCTTCCCCCCACCCCCCTCCCCCCTCTAAATAATACAAGTCTTATTTTAGAGACACAAATATAAGCTCTTCAGGACACCAGTGCAGAACAACTCTAAAGGTACTAAAAATCCCATTGTTTTAAGTAGCAGTATGGTACTGACTGTGTTCCATATTTCACAGATAAAGATGCTCATTACTTTTACAATATTTTCATTAACTGTGACTTAGATTTTTGTAAGAAAATTTTAATAAAGGAAATGTTAATATGCTACATACTGCAGCATGTACTGAAACCTGGAAAACAAATAAAATACATGGTAAATACACATATGTATGTGTTTTCTCAAAGATTTACAAGAACTTTGGACATTTCTATTGAAACTGCTACTTCCATTGCACTGTAGTTACACTATTTTTTTTTCCCCTTGACACTGAAGTTTAGCAGCTGTCACAGCACAGAACCAGGGCCTACATCACACAGAAAGACTAAAACCCCAGCCTTTGGAAAGTGAATCATGTCGCTTATCACCATCACAACACTTTCCTAATACAAAGTGACAATTGAGACAGTGTCTTGCCAAAGTAAGACTCAGGCACACCCAAAAGCTCTGAATATTAGGAAACAATTAAAGGAACACATACTTAAGCCTCAAAATAGTTCCATAAATGTACAAAACCTGATCAGACCTCAACTCTGCTGACTCTTCTGACAGCCACAGACACGAAGAATGGTTTAACATTCTGCTGTCACAGTAAGCAGTAGACTTCAAGTAATTCTTGCAAAATGTATCCAGAAGGTAACAGAGAGGTATCTGGGATAGGCATGGAGGATGAACATAAGAAGATTGCTCTTGGACTGCTGGAGGTATTTAACAATGGACAGAGCAAACCAAGCCCTGTCTGAGGGTGGGGAGATGTTGTGGAGGTCTCATAGAAGGAATACTAAGCAGCCTCTCCTGGGGTAGGGAGGGCAATTCCTGTGCAGATGCTCCAGGCACATCCACTGCCCATGTTGAAGCTCTGCTGAACTGAAGGGATAGAGCAGGGTGAAGAGCTGTCACTGTGAGATGGGAAGATGTGCAAGGTTATCCCGAGGCATTAAATATGCCTCACATACATGCTGAGCACTGCAGGGTCTGTCAGTAGAAGTGCAGAATTTTATTCTACAGGGATTGCCCATAAACTGAGGGAAGCATTGCAACATTTAGTAGGCTTGAGGTTGTTGGTGCTAAGTAGGCTCAGGGAGAAAGACGCAGACAAAGGCTCTGCTTTCCTTCCCACACAAGCACATCACCAGAGGGAAAGGTGCCCAAATTACCTTCCCTTTTTATTCAGCTCTGTCAGGTTTTCTCAGCAATTAGGAAGGAAAGCAAATGACTGTGATCTGTTTGGGGATGATTCAGAGTCATATTTTTTGGCCCAGGTGTACAAAAAATGTTACAGGCCAAAGACAATATTGTAAAGAATGCCTTTTTTTTTCTAAAGGCAGAGGCAGAATTGTCTGAGACAATGCATACTGCAACTAGCAGAACCCCAGAAACGCAACATCCCAAAACCTAGAGAGCACATGTGCACCTTGATGGCAAAACTTCTTAGAACTTCTTATTTAGAACTCGGTGTTCTGCTACAACATATTTGTACAAAATAAACTGTTATTTATTCCTTTACTCATTAATACTTGATTCTACACTATACATATGCATACATATATGATTTCTGTTCTCCCTCATTTTAAGTAAGAATTATTTAAGAAAATAAGGAAATGAAACAGGTTTTGAAGGACTAAGGTTCACATGTTTCTCACTTGCGAAAGACATGCAAAAAACTTGCACATTTTAAAGAAACTGTGTTGTACAGTAAAAGTCTCCAAGTAGAACATCACTTTTAAAAGGTCATGTCATTGAAAGTAAAATGAAAAGCAAAATTTTATAAGGAGGGAAGGAAAAAACATTGAACTCAAAAGGTTAATAATCTATCCTTTAAACAAAAAAAGGCAATCTACTTTTTCTCATTAAAACCTGACACACAGCACTAACTGAGGAGATTATGTTGTGAAAACATACTGCATTGCACGGTAATGCTTGATCGAGATCAGCAATCAGGAGCAAAAAGAAAGCACTGTTTCGTGATTATAATAGCAAATTCTGGAAGACAACCAAATACATCATCTGGCAGCTCAACAGCTGTTACAGCTTGGTAGTAATACCTTGGCATTTGCTATAAGCTATAACTTGAAAAAATTGATTTCTCATCTGCCAGAAACAAGAAAACATTCTCCTTTTAACATTTCTGAAGTTTCTTTCACTAGAATACTCAGATATTTGATCTGCTTTTTAATTTTGCTGGGTTTTTACCCTTGCTGCCAAGCAAAATTTACATACATTTGATCCAAAAATTAAGTTGCGGGAAAAATACAACTTAAATAAACGATATGCATTAAGATAAAACCCATTTTGATTACACACTGGGTAGTACACAGCACAAAATATTCCTGATTGTCCTCCTTGCTCATATTCACAGCCATGGTGACCTAGCTGCTACTGTACTTCATACCTGCCTGAAAAAGGGACATTTCCAAAATATAGTTCAGTACCTGTCCATACCTTTTCCATGTGAATATCAGGAAGAACTTCTTTACTGTGAGAGTGATAGAGCACTGGGACAGGCTGCCCAGAGAGGTTGTGGAGTCTCCTTTGCTGGAGACATTCAAAACCCACCTGGACAAGTTCCTGTGTGATGTGCTCTAGGTGACCCTGCTCTGGCAGGGGAGTTGGACTAGATGATCTTTGAGGTCCCTTCCAACCCCTAGGATTCTGTGATTCTGTGATATACTTTGCTATTAGTTAAACCTTCTTCTTCCATGTCAGAGGCAGTACACGAGGATGTAGACTGAGTTAATAATGCTGAGAATTTACAGTACTTAACAAACTCAGTCTTTAAATAACTCCTGGGTATAGGATAGGAAGAGGAAGAAGATGTATATTGTAATTTTTATAATGATATTCAATAGTTAAACCATTTGTTCTGTGTGCAGAGAGGATCCCTAAAAAGAGCAATTTTCTAAGCATACAGTACTTTATTGACCTTAAAGTAAGTATACATCATAAAAAAAGACATGGACTACTTAAAATGTTTTAGCATTCAAACTATTCTAACTATTTTAGCATTAAGTAAAAGCAATCCATCATAAATATTTTAGATTCTGGTATTCCACTTAGATTTTCAAGTGTCATAAACAATATCTCTCAGAAATCAATATTCACACAGTACATCTTTGGGGAAATGAAACAACATATACACAAATGTGGTATAAGCTATCAAATAGATCTCTACCTTTACGCCTAGTGCAGTTTTCTTGGCCTCTGCTTTTAATCTTGTAGCTCTTAACATAGGCCTGGTTTTCTTATAATCTTGTTTTCCTAAAGTAGAAAAGCACATTTAATGAAAACAACGCAAAAAAAGAAGATAAAGAATGTCAGCAATTACTTCAGTTGAAAAGCCAGATCTAACATTCTGAAAACATCCCACGCTCCAGCACTTCAAGCAGGAGTTACTCTATAAGACAGAGGCCTGATCTGTGGAACAATGGTCATTAACACAATGACAGCAACAAGCAAGAGGTGACAAAACAGAAAAGAACCTATTTCTCCACAAGGGCACCAAAATACAGGTATGGAAAGCCATCCATTAGGACATTATGGTGAATGTAAATGTATCATCAGTCTGAACTGGAACATTGTTTGCAAGTATCAAAACTCAGAGACATGCAGGTCAGTCCCAAGTAAGCACTAATAAAACCACTGCTTCACACCACCTGCTTGTGGAAACATGTTACGCAGAATCTTCCAGAAGACTCTTGGACTTTTAAAAAGTTATGGGGACTATCTCTTGCACCCCAAAAGAGCACAGCTAAGTGCTTGATTACTGTGAGTCCACATTAACTGAGTTCAGAGGAGGACACGCAAGTACTTACCAATAGCATAAATAATTTATCTCAATTTTATAATAAAGCATAAAACACTTGCTATCTCTCAAGGATATTTTTGCTGTCTGAAGGGCCTCTTACAGCTATACTATGTACTATTAACTACAGCTTCTTTAAATCAACAGAAGTCAGATACAGTTACAGCACAAAAGGAGGAGAAGGAAAAGACCGATCTATGAAGAAATTTCTCAGAGCCCCAGTACAACCACTCTGTATTTTCAAAAACGTCCTCCTTGTCATTTTCTCCCCACTAATGCATACATGCCTTTTTGTCTTTTTTGCCTATTTCCAAAGCTGAGCTACAATGCTTAAAACAAAAATATTTGGCCATTTTTAAACACTAAGTTTACCTAGTTTTACATTTAGATTTCACCATTGTTGCATTAAAATAATTTAACCTTTTCTCTAAAACTGTGTCAGTAGTTTTGTGCATGCAACACTCCAATTTGCTCAATCAGATGTGGTCTTCCATACATAACTAATAGTGCAAGCTTCTCAATTTATGGTCACCTTCAAAACTGTGATATTATACTGTACTGGTGAAATTCTGAAACATGAATTGGAAAAGGAAGTTCTTCTCCAGTGCTATACTGTATTCTGTGATATACACCTTTGCTTTTGTCCATTCTTTCTATCACTCTGCTGATACTCAATACAGAGCTCCTCTCTAGCATATTGTGGATGCTGAACTCATATTATCAATTTGCTTTCATTATATAATCTCTCCTCAGCCTAGGAATTACATATTGTGAAGATGTCTGTATTATCACTTGGTCAGATATTATTCATAAAAGACCAGAAATAACTTAGAAAATAATCGTTGGCAAGAGGAAACAACTGAAACAATGTTTAAGGGGCATTTATCCAAGGAACCTTCTTAAAGGATAGAGTGAAGAAAAGATAACAGAATAACTATTAACGTCTGATGCTCCACATAGGTGTAAATATCACACAGGAAACCTAGTCTATGAAGTAGACCTATTGATAAGACCAAGTCTATTCCTAGAAAAGGGAAAGCTTATTGGTGCTCTCTCCCTCAGTTTCAAGCACTCTGGCACAATGTATTCCAGTATTGTGGCTATGGCTAAGATTAGATTCTACTTATCTATAGAATACTTCCAGATTTGTATTAAATCTGATATGAGCAACTAACCCATCCCTCCTCAATAACAAATAGACTATTTTAATAATTACTCTAGAGCTGGTTATTTTCCAAATCTATGCATCTGCCATTAATTCACCACTCTCTTTGCTAAATGTGATAGCCAAAAAGAAAAAAAATAAAATAATAAAAATGGTAGGGAAACTGTCTGAGTCCACCAAGTGCAAAAGTTTAAAAAGGGCATCTGTGGAGTCCTTTGTAATGAAAACCAGATTCAGCAAAAGTACTAAAAGACTCTTAAAACATCTGAATTTTCTGAGGCCTTGGGAAAGACATCTGCACTACAGAACTATAAAGAACTATGAAATGCAAAGACCCTACCACGTGAATACTGATCATTACCACCTGGAAAACAAGCAGAAATTAATGATACAGGCTCCCTACATCGTTATGGATCTGCAAATACAACCAGTTGGAATACATATGCTCACGCTCCAAATGTCTTCTAGCTTTATGTCACTTATCCTGCAAGCTTTTTTGTAAATTTATCTGTCAGAGTCATCAGCTTAAGCTGTTTCTCCTTCCCAGGAAGTGACCATCAAAGCCAGTTAAAACAGAGTCATCAGAGAAAGCCCCATTTGTCTACTTTACCCAATGTCTATTCTAGACAGACACTGAATTTTCCTGAGGAAGGCAAGAAGAAGCTGCCAAAAAGATAGAATTGGAAAATTTCCAGACTAAATCTTACTCTTATTAGTTAAGCAAAATCCTTTCCTGTTTTACTGGTCATTATTGTTATCAATCCTTCATCTCATCTCTTCTCTCAAACTGCAATACTGACTTTTCTTAACTTTTTTTTTTTTTTTTATAATTACTCCAATTCCCAATTTTTTAAAAATAAATCTGCCATTTCATTATTTACAATGTTTTGCAAGTCCACAATTTTCTTTCCATTTTTAAGGCCAAAAATCTAGTCCACAATAAGGTAACTTTTCTTACTCACTGTAGCCATCATCTATCTGCCTGCTTGTGCTACCCCTTGCCAGTCCCTCCCAAGACCAGCTGTAATGATCATCTACTTTTCCTTTTCAGTGCCTGAAGGTGGCTCTGCCCTTCAGAAGCTCTTCAGAGCCCACCTTCCATCCCACCACTTCTTTCCATCCTTCTTCACAGTTTTTCCATTCCTTTGGCAGCAAAGTGACCTCGAGCAGCTGAACTGAGTTGTGCCCTGTTTACAGATACTGCTTTGAAAACTTTCCAGAGGCAGAAATGAAGACTATTCTACCAATTGTAGAATAAGAGAAGGGTGAAGATAAAGGTGAAATATAGATACTTTTTGAGATATTAAAAACAGTTGTATAGTGAAAAATACCAAAACGTCTCCCTTAGAGCAGAGATTAGGGATTCGTACAATACGCAACATAAGTTTGTTTCTCTTCATGTAACCAGGATTAAAAATCTATGGATTTCACAATAATTTTTGTGATTTATCTCTACTTAAAAAGGACAATGAGATTCCAAGTATCTGCTATTAAATAATTTTAATAACAGATTAGAAATTACTGGATACTTGTATATTCAGTATTCTTCTTAACTAAACCTCTAATGACACTATGAGTAATGCAAAAAATTAAACTAAATAATACATATGAGCTAGACAAGTTCATTACATTCTGGGTGACTTTTTGTTTCTGTCTACAGAAATACTGTGACATTACCAGATATGCATAACACTACTTCTGCATACATACCATGTGTATATGTAACTGAGAATGCAACGTGCTGAACACTGTATTTAAGAAAACTGACTACATTTAAGATTGGATTTAAAGATGCTGCCATTTAAGATACAACCCAAACAAATCTAGAGAATAACTTTAGAGGGAAAAAATTAGATTCCCAACCCTTCTAGATTTTTACTCTTTCATTCCAACAATAGCTCATTACTGGAATTGAATAACAGACTAAAGACTGCCTCTCTGCTTTTCAATTCATCAGGCTTAAGCAGAAACAGAACTGCATCTTTGGCCTTTGTTGATGCTGCTGTCCAAGCTTATTATCATATGAATATCTAGTTATTGTTTTATAAATGTTCACATTTCAGGAGCTCCCTGCTTTCTTTTCTCTTGGTAGACTTTACAATATCCACCTTCATTATCATCATGTGGCAGCATTGCTCTTCGCCTGCATTTGCTACTTTAAAAATTAATGCACTGCTATTTTCTGAATACTGTCCTGTGTAAGCTGCTTATGAGTACATTATGCTATCAAGCAAGCACATGCAGAAAAGCTTCCTAAACTGTTATTCTTTCTATGAAAATACAGCTGGTTCTGCTTCAAAGGCACTTCTTTTCACCTGCAAATGGACTTGCTCCTACACTTATTCCTCAATTCATTGTCTTTTATTTGTGTCTGCAAATCTTTAATTGCCTTTAATTAGAAAAAAAGAAAATTCAGTGCTTTAATCTTGCAAATACATTCAATCATAATTCTGTCTGGGATGAATACCAAGTTCTATTCACTGACTGATCTTTATAACAAAGGTATATAAATTTATTGTCCGTTTATATAGACCACACCAATTAAGCCACAATGGAAAAGCAAATAGATAAGAGTCAAAATATTTGAAATGAGAAATGTGCAATCTAAATTTAATTACTCAGAAAAATTATTTGAAGATGAGATATTTACAGCATGCCAAAAAACCTGACAGATAGTAAAATCTGCTAATCAACATTACAGATTTAAAATTCCTTTCAACACTTCCACTGTAATTTGTAACAACCAACAAACTGCAGTCCTGAATCTTTCTGTGCTGGTATTATCATAATAAAAACATTAGTAAGACTTTTTCTATACAGTAGTAATCCATTTAATGTGTTAAAGTATTGTTGAAGGTGTAATAAAACTACAACTACTGGGTCATTTTGAGTTACCAGTAGTAGTTTAACTAAAGTATGTTAATATATTTCATGCTGAAACCCGTACTAAAACAAGTTCATAACTTGAAACTAGAGCCAGACTATGAAAACAGTCCTTCGGTCTTTTCAGGATTTTCACAGACTGACTTTGAGCATCCCCTCCTTCTCCCCATTGTTACAGGGGAACAGAACAGTTAGATCTTACTGATGGGGGAAGAGGTCCAAGACAGAGGAAGACTCAGTCATACTATTCCCTACAACCTCCTTACATGCAAGACATAGAAGGTTACAGCCATTACATGTTTTTAGTTTTAGCTTATTGCTTGTTTAGCTCTTTCTTAACATCTCATAGAGAGACTTCTCCAAAGAGTGAGGACAGCCTGAAGTGCTCCCTGGCAGCACCTATTTTTC